AGCATTAATAGTTTACGAGTTATTGACGAAAAACGGAAAAACAGTTTTTTGCAAATTACTCGTTAATTATTAACGCTAGCGAAAAACTTTTATATGGAAATTGTAGGTCTCGTCGTCCTCTACAAGAAAGGTCCTATGCAATTTTCTCGTACATTCAACGGTTTAGAAGTTATTGAGGAAAAACGAAATTTTTTCCCGAAAGTTCGCCATTTCGACGCTGGGATGGTCGGATTTTGTCAACATCAATAAAATGCCAAATAATCATACTTAACTCATTAAATATCGAAAATAGAAGAAAAGTGCACTATTCTTAATGATAGGAAATGCGTTTTTCTAATGTACATAAACTTTTGGTATTGACTATATAACCAATACATCCTTAAAAGCGGTCCACTTCCGTCGATCCGGTGTGCATCGAAGTAGCCGGCGAATCGAACGTTCTTCGGATTTTCACCTCGTGTTAAGAGGCTCAATCGTGGACAAAGCGGTAGCTTCGTTCGATCCGATGCTCGAAATCTTTGATCGGACGAACGGAGGCTGCGTCTCTGTCTGCATAGTAAAGTCGCTACGCGAATCTCCATGACATCCCCTTGTTCTCCTCGTATTTTTCGTTTCTTGTCTGCCGTTTGTTTCGATGTCATCGTGTAAAAAAAGGAAATGTGTCACGTTTGTACCCATGCATCACTCACCGCCACCACCACCACCACCACCAACACTACCACCCACACGGCTAATCGAACTCCTCCACGATCGTTAACGCACACACACACACAGACACGCACACACACACACACACCTCTCTTTATCTATCTCTGTGTGCACCTGAATATGCATTCGACAGAGTATCTATCCGAGAAAAGTCACGGGACGAGTATACTCGAATCGAGGCATTGAAACCATGAACTCGTCAACTCGGAACACTCTGTCTCGTTTTGATTTCCTCTCATTTTTATTTCTTCTCCTTTTTTTTGGTCTGAAACATGCACATTTTCTACGCGGGTGAATGCGCACGCTTCTCTTTCAAAGCTGAACGAGGAAAGGAGCAAAGTTCTACTTCGTTTCT